TGAAGACTGATAATTGCAGACTGGCAGTTCACTCTTTAATAAATGAGTCGATCCTTCGCCCGCAAAAGTCACTGGATGGTCACGGAAGGTAAAAAACAAAACAAAACTCTTTAATGACTCCCAGTCTCCGTGGGCCTCGTCCGGTCTGCGTCCAAAATGTTTATCAATTTGCATTGTTCAAAAAGAAGAGATTCGTTGCAATTTAGCGCCAGGATGCGTGGTTGGGTTATCCAAAAGATTCCGAAAGCTGGGGCAGGTATAAAAAAGAAGAATGAACACAACCCTCTCTTCATACATGAGACATAAAATGATGTATTATAATACGATATGTACAAATGTATCATTTATATGTGCAAGTACCTGACTGTTACCTGATATCAGCCTTTTGCATTCCCTGTACACAGGGGCATCCTTACACCTTTCACCATGTGAGGCTTTGAGAATGGGCACTGGTAGTGCTCATTACAGGGGGGGGGTTTGATTGAGTTGTGTTAGTGGATATTGGAGGTGCATAGGTGGGGGGTAGTGGTGCTCGGTTCCTCTGTTCGGCATTTCGCCCAGCTCACTGACATCAATGGTTGCCAGGAGCTGGGCAGTATACCAGCCAGACGGTCCCACTCAGCTTTTGTCAACCAGTGACATTGCCAGAAGCTGAGTGAGGAGTTAGGTTGGTGGATGTTGGCGATGCACATTACTGGGATGGGGGCGGGGAGGAGTAGTCGTGCATGGTACTTCTGTTCAGCATCCCACCAAGCCCACTGACATCACTGGTTGCCAGGAGGTGGGCAGGATGCAAGCCAGACAGTCCCACTCAGCTTCTGGCAGCCAGTGACGTTGCCAGAAGCTGAGTGAGGAGTTGGGTTGCTGGATGTTGGTGGCGCATATTACCGGGATGGGGATGTGGCTGGTAGTGGTGCTCGGTTCCTCTGTTCAGCATCCCACCCAGCTCACTGACCTCACTGGTTGCCAGGAGCTGGGCAGGACGACAGCCAGAGCATCCCACTCAGTTTCTGGCAACCAGTGGCATTACCAGAAGCTGAGTGGGGAGTTGGGTTTGGTGGATGTTGGCGTGGTGGTAACATCAATGGCAACATCAATGGTTGCCAATGACGTTAATGAGGGCAACCAATGACGTCAGTGAGCTGGACGGGACGCTGGTCAGGGCATCACAGGTTAATAAGAGCACTTAGCAACCTGGGACATACTATGGCCCGACCCCCATGTGACCCAATGAGATGCCACCTGAGGCAACCATCTCAGGTAGGGAAGGCGCTGCATGTACAGCAGAGCTCAGGCTGGGAGAGAAAGAAGCAGCACAAGGAGCCAATCAACACACTCCAAAACACCCAGTGATTATGTCACGGAGTCTAAAATAAGGTATGTAATGCAAACAGAAATACTTTATTTAAACATTTCATTAACATGTTGAGGGGGAGAACCAGGGAAGGCCAAATAGGGGGGGGCTGGGCAGGGAAGGCAAAATATAAGCAGATTGAATTTCATCTTCATTATATTGGCTGTTGCAGATAATATTACAAGTCCTTCGCGCAGCGAAAAGGTTAATAGAGTTTCCTATGAAAACAACTTTGCGCATCAACTTCATGAACATAAAGCAATTTTATGGCGCGCAGATTCTGAGGGAGCTGTCTCCAGATGTGTTTTATGTACGACAGAAAACCTCCCGCAGCTTCCTCGAGTGCCGGCAATCCAACATATTTCTGGCTGAGGGCAATTTGCCGGCATTTGTCATATTTGTACTGGTGCGTCTCCCGTGCTAATCTAAGCTCTGCTTTATTTTTCAGTTTGACGTCTTCAAGATTAGTAAGATGCACCATTATTTATTAATTCGGATATGAACGGGAGGGGGGTGGCTTGGGCCGAAAGGAGAACAGTCTTGCGTAACAGAGTGGTTATAGAATATACAGTAGAGATGCAAAAGATTTACTACAAGAACCTCAGATAGATGCCCTGTCAGTCCATACAGGTGCGATATTTTAGATTTTGGTGGATGAGGGCACGTAGAATTATGAAATGACTCTGCAAGGCAAAGTCACAGGTTCACGTTAAAACTCAACTTTGGGATTTTTGAAGATGAAGATCTTCAGATGGTTAAAACAAAGGCAGCTTGGGCTGCAGCACTCACCTCCTCTCCGGACCTGTCCCTCGCAGTAATAGTCTTCTGCCACTAGAGGTCCTTGGTTGGATGATGGTAGGTGGTATTATGAATTGACTCTGCAAGGCAAAGCCACTGGTTCTCTTTAAAACGCAACTCTGGGATTTTTGAAGGTGAAGGTCTTCAACGGTTAAAACAATAGCAGCTCAGGCTCCAATACTCACCTCCTCTCCGGCACTGTCCCTCGCAGTAATAGTCTTCTGCCACTAGATGTCCATGGTTGGATGACGGAAACTGAAATTATGAATTTACTCTTCAGGGCAAAGTCACAGGTTCACTTTAATACTCAACTCTGGGATTTTTGAAGATGACCCATCTTCAAATGATTAAAACAAAAGCATTTCAGGCTGCAGTACTCACCTCCTCTCTGGCGCTGTCCATCTCACCTCCTCTCCGGCACTGACCCTCGTAGTAATAGTCTTCTGCCACTAGATGTCCTTGGTTGGATGACGGAACCTGAAATTATGAATTGACTCTTCAAAGAAAAGTCACAGGTGCACTTTAAAACTCAACTCTGAGATTGTTGAAGATGAAGATGTTCAGATTGTTAAAACAAAGGCAGCTCAGGCTGCAGTACTTGCCTCCTCTCCGACACTGTCCATTGCAGCACAAGTCTTCTGCCACTAGATGTCCTTGGTTGGATGACGGAACCTGAAATTATGAATTGACTCTGCAAGGCAAAGTCACAGGTTCTTTGTGGCGGAAGGTGCTAAGAGGAGGAGGACTCAACACGTTACCTGACTGGACTAAAGAGTTCTGCAAAAGCCATGTATAAAATAAATATGTACTTGCATTCATGGGGCGGGTGCTTGACTAAGGACGGGGAGGATGAGCCCGGCTATATAATTTTATCCCTCCCGCTCTGCAAACACATACTTACTTTACCTTTGTTACCCAACCACTCCATTCAGCTATCAAGAACAAGAAAAGCCACTTTGAGTTAAATATCAATCCTAACCCTAGCCTTACACTGGAATATGGACTCCCATGTGACATCTCTGGTGTTTTGTGATTGGGCCAGTGCTGTGACGTGAGTCACATGATTCTCCATCGGTGGAAGAACTAGTATTTTCTTGGTTGCCTCCAGCTGAATGGAATGAAGGAAAGGTGAGTATGCAATGTCTGGGATATTGGGCATTAAAGCAAACCCATTGCTTAGTTTTGCATGGACAAAGAACAGGATTTCTATAAATATCTTCGTTGGAGTTGCGGAGAACCTGACTCTAAATGTTGGATATTTAAAGTAGAACACCATGCAAAACTTTTTTTGTTTAGTATTGTATACTATGGGGAAGGGTTACTGATCTGTAAAAATTGTCTATGGCTGGAATTGTTTTGACAGATGTATGAGCATATGTGGCATGTGTCGAATTACCTTTGGACCCTTTCTTAGGTCTTCAGGGGTGGGATTTGTTAAAAATGGGTGTGGTTTTACAATGACACTCCCTCAAGGAGTAATGTGCCTGCTGTAATGCATTTTCTTACCATATGTAATCCTATTCTGCAACTACTTGTCTACTTCTACCTTCTATCTTGCAAAGTAATTCTGTATAGTTAATGCAGTTAAATGTGTATTCTATATTAAACGTTTTTTTTACACAGCTGTGATTTGTGTTAAAAGCTGCTTAATTATTCACAGAGCATTTGAGCGCTGTGTTGAAAGCTAAAGCTCTATGGGTTATTCGGTTTGAAAATGCAACATATGCTATTCCCAAAAATATCTTTAGAGATCCTCCGTTCACCATTTTACATTTCTCAGCAGCTGGGTGGCTCAGTTTAAGGTTTCAGTTAGAGAAAACAAGCCCTAAAGCAGTCAGTGTCTGTGTAGTATCTCTTAATAAAACCCATAGTTCTCTAGGAATCCTTTGTCATGTATCAAATGTATATTTGTAAAACAAAGATATGAGCCAGCTGTTAATAAATTTGCAAAAAAAAAACCTGACACATTAATAATTATATTTTATTTATATATAATACCACTTCCTTTAGACCAGGGGTGGGCAACTCCAGCCCTGCAGCTGTGTTTTATCTAGAAATCCCAACATGCCTCTGCCTCTTGCAATGCCTCATGGGACTCCACAACAGCTTGGGGGCCGCAGTTCTCTTTTATCTTCATCAGTTCTAAGCTCACATGGGGGTCTTTTTAAAGGAGAACTATGGGGTTGAGGCTTTTCCCCATAGTTCTCCTTAGGGTAACGGGAGGACACAAACTAGCGTCCTCCCGTCACCCTAGGCTCAGTATACCGTGAGCTACAGCTCGCGGTATACTGAGACGCCGGAGCGGATCCCGACATCGATGTTGAGATCCGCCCAGCTGCGTGAGTGACAGCTGGCTCTGCCTATCTAGAGGCAGAGCCAGCTGGACCCGCCCCCTCCCCCGTCCGTTCCGCCAGTCAGCGCTGGCGGATCGGAGCGGGGAGGGAGGAATCCAGCCCCTCCCCTGTCACGGCAGAGAGCCGTGACAGGATCGAGAGGTGAGCGAACGCCGCTATGTGTTTGCTCACCTCCCGATCTACTGAGCCGACCTGTGACAGTCTCATTGTCACAGGTCGGCTAGAACTATGAGGTGAGTGAAAAGCACTCACCTCATAGTTCTCCTTTAATACACAACAAAGTTGTTCCAATGGGAAAGCCCTTGGTTATTATATACAGCCCCCATCTTTCATCTGTTCAGCTGCAGAACTAAGAAAGAAATATATACATCTGGAAGTATGCAAGGGATTCCTTTTTCATCCATCAACATTTAAACTGCCTGTTGTCTTCCAGCCTTGTATATTATGCGTTTAGGTTTATCTGGTCCTCATGCTTTATTTACATTGTCTTCCAGATCATGCTGCTGAGTGACCCCGATGTAGAGAGCAGTATATGGATCAGCTCGGATGCTGGAGCCACGTACCAAAAATACAGAATCAGCTTCTACATACAGAGTCTCTTGTTCCACCCCAAGCAGGAGGACTGGGTGCTGGCGTACAGTCTGGACCAAAAGGTAAGGACCGCCATTGTTCTTCGGGCCAAGATAAAGACTAATGTAGCAAGTGGTCAGGAGGATAGAATACAAAGTGATGTATATATAGGAGCAAATAAATTCTTGAGGCCTTTTTGTTATGTAGAAGGTCTTCTTTATCTTCTAGTTCGCCAGTGTGATGGACTCCCTAAGAGGGCAAGTGTTGCCACAAAGCTACAGGATTCTAGAGGCCCTTTGTTTAGGGACGCAGCACCCACATTGTCCTCAAGCAACAAAGGAAGCAGTGACAAAACAAGTGTTATAATAATTCTTGTTGCCCTTTGGCTCATTAGTGAATTACTCTCTATGTTTTCTTTTTAAAAAAGTCTTTACTTCCACTTTAATCTGGTTTTAACTGTCTAGGTTAGGGGTAGGCAACCTTGGCTCTCCAACTGTGCTGAAACTACCAATCCCATCATGCTTCTGCCTCTGGGAGTCATGCATGTGGCTTGCAATGCCTTATGGGATTTGTAGTTTCAGCACAGCTGGAGAGCCAGGGTTGCCTACCCCTGGTCTAGTTCATAGAAGAGAATGTCTAAGCATTCGCCCTCACGGGCAGGGCCCTCCTTACCATCTTGTCTTGAATTGTATTGTGATTGTTATGTCTTCCTTATATTGTAAAGCGCCGCGCAAACTATTGGCGCTATATAAATCCTGTATAATAAATAATAATAATTCAGTGAAGGTACCTGGGTATCTCTACATTGAGTGTCAACATTGGAAAGGACATTCAGGCCCCCTAGAGGCTGGTACGTTCCATATTCAAAGTGAACCTGTGAGCCATTTTGAACGTCTATTGTAACTCCTCCCAGGACAATGCAAATTTCCTACTGTTACCATTTTTATCCAGCAAGATTTATTCTGTGCCCCTCTCTGATTTAGTTCTACTTTGTTGCCTGGTGCTTCCCCTGATTCAGTGGCTTAGTGACGTAATGTTCTGCCAGGTGCCATTACTCTGTCCCACGAAACCATTTGGCTGGAAATTGACATTCTCTTTGGACATCTAGTGAAGCAATTCTGTTAAAGGAACCATGAATGTCACTACAATCTCAATACAAAATTAGTAAATCAAACGTGAGATTGTAGTCCATCCTGGGAGCGGTGACTACTCTACAACACACACAGGGACCATGGGGGACAAAGTAGCCCCCCTCCAGAAGGAAGGACAGTGTCAGCACCAGTTCAGAGATGATTGGAGGATCTACAGCCGAGTGATACACAAATAAGATCCATTGTTGTTCATAGTTAAAGGACTTGAATGTATTTTTAAGATTTAACTTCTGAGTGTAGTGTCACTTTAAAGGTAAGTATTGCAACAAAAGCTGTTTTGTTATTTATTTATACTTATAGCTTTTTATTTTTTTTCACAGTAGTTCTGCTTTAAGCAGACTTCTTATTTCTATCAGAAACTGAGGTGACAACTGCGAGTATTTCAAAAGCCTTTTAAAACTTCTTCTTCTTCTTCTTCTATACTGCCAAATGTTACTTTGTCTAACAATAGATATAAAACATGTATTTTCACCCTAACCGTCTTTTGAATTGTAATAACGGCTTAGAGAATGACAAGCATATATAAAATGATAAAGAATAAAAATACAAAGAGAAAAAAAAAAAAAGAGTAAAAAAGTAAAACATCTAAAAGAGTGAAAGGAAAAAAAAGAATACAAAGAGAAGAATATAAAAGCATATTGCCTAAGATAAAGAAAACTTATTTTTAATAATAGACAATGTTTATAAATATCTGTGTGCCTGATTGAACTTATCACTGCTCCGCTTCTTTAGGGGGTTTGCTTCTTATTTTATAGTTTAGAAAAATGAACTAACCCGAATGGACAAATTAAAATGTGACCCAAATTGGTGCAATTTTCTTTTTAAAAAACAGATTAAAGTGGAAGTAAAGACTTTTTTAAAAAGAAAACATAGAGAGTAATTCACTAATGAGCCAAAGGATATAGCTGTAGCTTTGGCTAATCCTTCTTTGGCTCGCTTTGGCCTCAGGAGCCCTAATCACAATGGCCGAACAGCAGCCAAAGGCAGCTGAGCAGCCCAGCCGAACGCATATGCTTTGGCTCGGCTCAGCCGAAGTCACAGCCAAAGCCAAAGTGCTCGGCAGAATTTGGCTATTTACTCACTGCCATTCGGCCCCTATGAGAATAGGGGCGAACCGCAGCGAGCGAACTGCCGAGAGGTTCGGCTCAGCCAATCCAGATGTTGTATCGGCTGAGTCGAACCTGTTCTTCACTTCGGCCGAAGGGAGCCGAAGCCGGCCGATGTTGCGGCTGATTTCAGCCTTCGGCAGCTTAGTGAATAACCCCCATAGATTTTTTTTATGATACTAGAGGCTTTGCATGTCTCTTCTGTCATAGATGTTGCTATGACTTTGTTCTGTAATTGTACACTGAGCCGCACATGCACACTGTGCCAGAAGGAAGTAACTCTAATGCATGCACAGGACTAACATCATCGGCCAGTCAAGATAGCCAAAGACTCCCAACCCGGAAGTTATTCTTGAAACAAGTCCTCATTTGAAAATATTCCCCCAACGCTGCTTGGGTAACAACTCAAAATGTGGGATTTGCCTATCACTTTCAGTCACAGGGTGACAGTGATCACCAGGACAAACAGAGATGGTTGAATAACCTAACCAGGTCCACAGAGTTTAAAAACCTGATTGGAGTTCTAACCTCTCATCAGTGCCATCCAAAGTTTAAAAAAAGGAAATCGTTTTGGGTTTAAATACTTTTAAAGATCACTGTTTTCTTGTGACCTTATTTTTTTGTGTTCCATATTTCAATTATTGCATTTTATACAAGGATCTGTAATTCTTCCCTTTAGAGCACGGGTTCTTAAAGTGACATTAAATACAGTAGTCAAATCTTAAAAATCCATTCAAGTCCCTTAACCATTAACAACAATGTATCTGCTTTGTGTATCACTCGGCTGTAGATCCTCCAATCATCTCTGAATTGGTGCTGACACTGTCCTTCCTTCTGGAGGGGGGCTACTTGTGTTCCCCACGGTCCCTGTGTGTGTTGTAAAGTAGTCACCGCTCCAAGCTCCCTCCCGGGATGGACTACAATCTCACGTTTGGTTTAATAATTTTTTATTGAGATTATAGTGACATTCATGGTTCCTTTAACAGAAATGCTTCACCAGATGTCCAATGAGAATGTCAATTTCCGGCCAAATGGTTTCGCGGGACAGAGTATTGGCACTTGGTAGAAAGTAGTCACTAAGTCAGGGGAAGCACACACTGTCCTTCCTTCTGGAGGGTGGATACTTCTGTTCCCCATGGTCCCTTTGTGTGCTGTAAAGTAGTCACCGCTCCAACCAAGCTCGCTCCCGGGATGGACTACAATCTCGGTACAAATTAGAAAACTAAACATAAGAATGTAGTGCATTCCGGGAGCGAGCTTGGACTGGTGGCTACAGACACGCTTTAAGGGGCTACAGATAAAGACCTAAAAAATGAATCTTAGTATATGCCAGGGCTATGGCCCTCCAGCAATGGTGCAACTACAAATGCCATGATGAGATGTCTGTGGCTGGTAGAGTTTTGCAATGCCTCATGGGATTTGTAGTTGCATCATAGCTGGAGGGCCGGAGGTTGCCTACCCCTGATATATGCAATCACCTTGTGTTTGTTTAAACAACAACATTTTGATATATAGTTGAATAGAATGGTAAAGGGTTATAACTTGTGTCATGTATAATCAGGGACGGATTTCCCACAAGGCCAACCAAGGCCTGGCCTCGGGGCAGCAGGAAGTAGAGGGGCAGCAGGGGGTGTGGAATTCCTATCTCCCGATGCCCAGGACATGCAGTTCTTGGCGCCGGGTGGGTAGTTGTTTTCTACATTTAGCCGGGCTTTGAGCAAGCAGAACTAAATGTACAGCGGGGAAGCCGCCGCTTGTTTAATACAAGTGATCTTGATGATGTCACCGAGATCACTTGTATGCAGCCTGCAGGTCAGCCATTCTCCAGGGGTGGGGGAGGTTTAGCGGGTAGGGGGCTCATTGAAGACCTGGCCTTGGGGCAGCAGAGAGAGTAAATCCGGCCATGTGTATAATTGTCCATGTTCCTGTTGGGTTGATTGCTTCTCGTCTCCTATCCTGTTGACACCCAAGACAGAAAGTGAAGGGGAAGCTCCCCAACGAGTTCCAAAGATGTCCCTTCCGCACTCCTTACTGGTATGTCCCTTTTAAGGTGGGTGTTGCAGTGATAGTGGATGGCGCCACTTCAAATCCAAGTAGTAAAGTATATCACCAGCACACCAAAGTAAAATCATTTTATTGATGTACACACATCTTGTCATAAAGCAACGTTTCGGGGCCACTCAGGGTCCCTTTATCAGGCATGCTCCCCAACGAGGACACACATGGTAAAGAACTAAGCTGGAGTTGGTCAAGATTCTCAACCAGAAAGCAATCCTACTTTAATGTTCTCTTCCCACATATAATTTGTTATGCATGGGCCTCCGGCAGCTAGGGCGGCCGGTATCTCGTAACAGAATAGAATTCTGCATTTTGATGTTTGACAGTATAAATAAGTAAACTATTTAAATAAAGAATGGGCACAAAATACAGCAAAGCAGGCAGCTGCCTGACACATCTTATCAATGATTTACTCGGAGGATATAAGTTTGATGCTGTTTGTCAGCAGTCACGCTGTTTGCGGGTGACAGCTGTTCATCCATATTGGGCGCCCTGGCCGCAGATGTGACACGGCGCTCTGATCTCCCCTCCGTTCTCCGGGCGGCTCAGGCCACCATCCGTCTTTCTCCTTGACAGCTGTGAAGATAGCACGAGAGTGACTGCTTGGTGGCTGCCATAGAGCATGCAGAGGAGAGCTGGGCTATTCCGTTACTCTTTCAGTGTCGATGCACCATGATGCAACAGCACTCACAATGCTGCGGCAAAACATTTTCATTTTGCGCCCTTTCGAGCATTTGCACAATAGATTTTGGTCAGGCAAAGAAAAGT